GGGGGGGAATCTCCTGGGAGCTGCAAGGGTGAGGGCCTGGGCGGGTTCCCAAGCGTCGGGAGAGCCCTCCCCCAGCAGTGCCGACCCTCCACCGGGGAAGGGAGAAGGCAGAGAGAGGTGGTTTTAGTGAGTGCGACTTGTAACTCTCCCTCTTCGGCTGAAGTGCCCTCGGGGCCCCTCTCCGCCATGGATGCCCCCCACCCCACCCCCCAACAACCTTCTAGCCCGAAGGACTGAATGAACCTAGGTGCCTAGTAGGCGCCGGAGAGAAGATGCAGCTTTGCTGCACTCTAGGGAGCCGAGGTGTGCCCATCCCCCAACCTCTTGACGGGTGGGGGTGCAGGCGGACCCCTGGAACGCCGGCTAGGGCAGGAAGGAGCCTGAAATAGGAATGAACGGCAGTTGTTTTCACGGCAGGGAGGCAACTTGGGTGTGGGGTTAAGAACGTATCTTGAGGGGAAGGCCAGGGGACGCGACGAGGGTAGAAGTCCGGTGTCAAAGGGAAGGCGAAGGCAGACACAGCTTTCGCTGGGAGGGGCAGCCTGCCAAGGCTTCCCAGGCTAGCAATCAGGATAGGGCTGGACAGATAGGGGTTTGGGACATAGCATCATGGAATGCGGTCCCCCAAGTCTAAGCGCAGGCGGCTTATGTGAAGACTGGTCCCACACAGACACCCTATTTCACCCTGGCCCCTCGGACCCAGCCTGGGGCAATAGGTGCCCTTAGGGAAGAGAAACGACCGTCTTTCTCTGATGAGTACTCAACAACTGGCTCCTTGGTGGCAGAAAGGGGGCCTTTCCTGCTTAGTTCCAAAGGGAGCAGTTCTGACTCTCCCATCCCTGGGGAAAGAGGCCACAGCAGGTAAAAACCAGACTTCTACACTTGGCTTTGCCTGGGGGCAAATAATTTCCGGAGGTCCCTTTAAGGAGGGGGTGTTCTGATCCCTTTAAGAGTGAGCGGGTCCCAGCAAAAGGACTATAAAAGTCCAGCTTTATTTCCCACCCTTGGGGGTTTCCTTTGATGGGGGAGGGGTTAAGTATTGGCGTCGAATTGAATCCATGACAAGGAGTCCCTCCAGGCGAGAGCCGGTCCTCCGTCTTGTCCAGCGGGGCTTAGGGGCCAGGTTGCTCAGTGCACTGGGACCTGGAATTTGGACGCTCAGAGAAGAGGCAGGGAGGGCTGCCTGCCCACACCCACAGTGGAGAAGCCTGGGCATGACATCGGGGGCAGGGGAAAGTGGTCGGTGCCACCGTCACAGAAACTGCGCTGTGGGCTTGGGTGCCCTGCCCCGTGCCAGGTGGCTGGATCTCAGGGCAGGCGGTCTGCTGGGGCTGCAGCAGCAGCCGTGGGGGAGGTGCCTCTCAGCTGAACTAGGGATGACAGAGCAGCTAGTCTGTCCCTGCTGTCAGTCTGGTTGTTCGCGGTGGGGGGAGGGTGTGCAGCGTGTTCTCCCCGGCCCTGGATGGTCTCCTCCAGGTAGCTAGGTGTCTGTCTGTCCCCTTCTCTAGGCTCTCCTGCTCCGAGGTGGCTACCCCTTGCCGATGGGTCTGGAGGTGCCTATGTAAAGAGCGAGCAAGCCTCTGCTGAGGGGGGATAGCAGTGGAGACCTCATGGATCCATCCATTCCCCTTTCCAGACCAAATAACAAACCTTTTTTTTGGCCAGAGAGAGGAAAGGTGACAGCCCCCAGGCATTGGCACAGCTGTTCTGGTGGACTGGGATGGAAGCAGCATGCACTAAGGAAAGGATGAAAAAGCTATGGGAGCCAGAACTTCTTCTAAATGTGGAAAGGCTCTGGATTGGGAAGGAAGACGGTCCAGATGCAGAGGTTCTTGAAAATGGAGTCAACAAGGACAGGAGGCCAGAAAGTCCCTTTGGGGGGTACAAGCAGCCTGTATATAACATGGCCTCCTCTTGGCTGGCTTGTTAACCAGCTTTAAAAAGCAAGAGAGAAGAGGGACCCAGGAGATCAACGAGCTGCTAAAGGAGGAACATCAAGCGCCTTTAGCAAGCCTGTGCCCCCCCCCCACCCACACCCACACACATAAGCCATAAGCCCACTGAGCCAGAGCCTCCTGGGGCAAAAGAGCCAGCCACCCATAGGGAAAGCTCCTTTGGCTATGAGCAGGCTGGGCAGTCTCAGCAGCTCCTGGGGTCTTTGCTTCCTCCACAGTCAGGATTATCTCTTCTCTCCCTCCTGGGTTCCAAATACATCACCTTCCTCTAGTACCAGGGCAACAGGGGTTTTACCCAAAGGTGCCAGGGAGTAGCCCACTCCAGCAGTTTTTTGCTCTGTTGGCTCCCAGGCTGAACAGGGGCTGCCACTTGAGTTTCTTTCCCTGTGACCGGCTACATTTCTTGATCCTCACATTCCCAATCCGGACTATCATCACCACCACCACCACCATCATCATCATCATCAGAGGTGAGGCTGCCTTGACCGCCCTCCTACTTCAACCTCCAGCGGCCATAGGTGGCCTCTACTCCCAATCTGGTGGGGACTGGGGTCTGCCATAACACAAGATGATAATGGACTTGGCTGAGGAGAGGGGCTGCTCTTGTGAGACAGAAAGTAGAGCTGGCCTGGAGGTGTTGAAGAGGAGGGCTGCTGACTAGCTCTGCCTCAGGAGGCTCAGGGAAGGGAGAGGTCCTTCAGTGCCCTACTTTCCGAGGTTCGGGATTTTGCGTTCCCTATGGATGGGGAAGTAAAAGTTAAGGGCAGAGGTCCTGAGAGATTCTGGCCCTTTGAGAAGCCTGTGCACCGCGGTTTTAGCACGGCCTTGGTAAATCATGTTCTGTAGACTTGCTAGGTGGTCTGGGAACCCCGGGGGGGGGGCAATCTGGACGCAAATAAACTGTCTCCTCCCCCCCACCCCCTTTTCTTTTCCGAGGGGAGGCTATTGGCCAGCCACAGAGGCTGGCAGCCCTGGTTACCTTAAAAACTGCCTGGGTCAGTGCTTCAGTTGCACGGTCTAGGAAAGGTGGGGGAACCGCCTAGGCAGGAGGAGCCCCTAAGCCACTCTATAAGGCTCGGTTTTTCCTGCTCTCTAACCAGGCTTCCTCAGCACTCTGGGCGCTTCTCTGCCCTAGGCGTTCCAGGGCCCAGCCCCTCCCCGGCTGCTCCCAGGCTCGGGTGACTTGACACTACCCTTTCTGCTCCTGCTCCTTTACCTCCCAAAGCGCCCCTCCCCCGCCTGAATTGGGAATGAGGCTTTGTTCAGGGGTGGACTCGGCATTTCTCAAGAACCTACTGTGTGCCCACTCCGGCCCCTTGAAGTGAAGTCCTGGGCCGGCTCTGGCGCGACCAGGTGTCCAGGACACAGCCCTGGACCTTCCCGCACCTCCCAGGGACCTCCCACACCCCTTCGTATGACCTCAGCCTGCTGTGCCCACCCACCCGGCTGACCCCGAGAGCATGCTCAGGCTTGGGAAAGCACGTCTGTGGGTGTGAGAGACGGAGCCACAGCCTAAGGTGACTGTGGGGAAGCTAGGTAAGTGTCTGCACCGGTTCTACGCCGGCTTGGGGACGCGAAGGAGGGTGTCCAGCCGCGCCTGCCGGGCTGCCCGCCCCTCTCCCCCTCCCCCGGAGAGCTCCGATGTTCCCCGTGGTGGTGGGAGAGGGTGTGTGGGTGTCAAGGACTCACAGGCTAGGCTCTGCTGTCAGCTGGAAATGGATGAGGGTTCCACACTCGGCTCCTGAAAGAGGGCGAATTGGGAGCTAGGGTTGGGGGGCGGGGGGGGGGGGGGGGGGGGGGGGGAGGGGCAGAAAGAGGAAAAAGAGTGTGGGGGTGAGGGGTTCCCGAGCCAGGACCGACCTTGCTGGGAAGGAAAGGAGACGTGGCAAGCAGGGAAGTCGGAAAGATGAGGCAAGGGCGGGAGGGGCTCCTCGGCAGTCGGGGCCCTTCGCACGAGTCTGGGGCCCTTCCCGCAGGAAAAGGGGGTGTTGTTCTTGATTGTTTTTTTCCCGGCTGGTCTTCTCGAAGCTTTGCCCCTGGGGGCAGCAGCCCGAGGAGGGTGGGGCGTCCCTCGGCCCTCAGTTTACCGCCGCCGGTGCTGGAGAGGTTACGAGGGAAGAGGGATGTGCAGGGGTGATGGTCAGGGCCGAGGCGAGCTAAGATTTCTCAGGGTGGGGGGGTCTGCGGCTGGGGTGCTGGGGCTTCGGGGTCAGGTCACCCTGGGGTACTGGCCCAGGCTGGGGAGACGAGGAGAAAACCCAAGAAGCCGGCAAAGAAAAATCATCCCCCCGCCACCACCCTTGGCACCGTACCCCTCCCCCAAGGCCCCACCACTCCCCGCACCGCCTCCCCCGGCCGCCTCGTGCTGCCCCCTGCGTCGGGACGACCGACCCACGATTCTGATTGGTTGGACACCGGGAGGGGGAGCCGAGGGCCGGATTGGCTGGCGGGGCCAGCGCAGGGCGGGGCGGCTGATTGGCGGAGCTTGCCGAGGGGCGCGCCGCTGATTGGCTGGGGACGAGGAAGCAGGAAGGAGGGCGGCGGAGGCTCCGCTCTCGGGGAGTTTGTGGGGGAACCGCGAGCGGCGTAGCGGATCCCGGAGCCCGGCCCCCGCTGCCCGCCCGTCCGGCCGCCTGCCCCGCCCGTCCGGCCCTTGCCGTTCGCCCGCCCCGGCCAGGCGCGCCCGCCCCCCCCCCCGACGGCCCCGCCCGACCGCGGCCCCCGCTCCGCCCGCCCGGCCCCGGCCCCCAGGAGGAGGCGCTGACGCAGCAGCGTGGAGCCCGGGAATTGAGCGCCCCCGGGGGGTTCCAGCCGCCGGATTCCAGCCCGGCCGGGGCCTGCGGGCGCCCAAAGCCGCGCCGTCCGCGCTGCTCGTCCCGGTGAGCTAGGGGCCGGGATCCAGGAGGGGGAAGGGGCGGGCGGGCGGGCGAGGGAGAGCGAGCGAGCGAGCGAGCTAGGTAGGCGGACTAGCAAAAGGGAGAGAGGACCGGCCGCCCGTCAGCGCGCCCCGCCGAGCGCGCCGCGCCGCCGCCCCCGCCAGCCCCGGGAAGGGACGGACGGACGACGAGAAGCAGGTGCGGCCGCCCGCCCGCCCGCGCGCGCCGCCTCCCTCCCCCGGGTCCGGCGCCGCGGTCCCGCCATCGGGGAGCGCAGCGCGCCTCGAGGTGACAGCCCCCGGGGGGCGCCTGCCTCGCAGGCCGGGGGCGGGGTGGGTGGCGGCCGCAGGGTGGCAGCTTGGCCGGGCGGCGGCGGCGCGGGCGTCCCGGGCTACGGAGGGCGGGAGGACGCGGGGCGCTTCCTCGCCGCGGCGGAGCCCGCTGGCCTCCGAGTGCGCGGGCGGCGAGGCCCCCGCCGCGCCCCCTCCCCCATCGTGGTCCCCGAGGCGAGGGGCCGCGGCCGGGGGGGGGGCGTCGCCGCGGGATCGCCCTCTCGGGGGTGGGGGGGTCGCCCTCCCGGGTTGGGAGCCGACCGGCTATTACCGGAGGGGGGTGGGGATGGGGGCCGCGCCCGGGCGAGGGGGAGCGCGGACCCGATCGCGATCGGGTCGGGCTGGAGGAAGGGAGGCGCCGAAGACGGAAGGGGACCGGTTCGAACAGCGAGTGTGGGCCGCGGGAGGCCCTGTGGGGACCGTGCGGGGCGGCGGCCGAGTCCGAGGTGGGGCGGGGGGAATCGAAGTTGTCAGACCGCCTCCAAGTGACAGCGGGACCCGGTGCTCCAGGCCCGGCCTGGTTGTGTCCTGCCAGCCCCGCCGCCTGTCCTCCGGGGCCGGGGGCCGGGTCAGGTCGGGCCCGAGGGGCCCGCTCGGCGGCGAAGAGCCGGACAAAGGCGGCGCCCGAGTGGGCACAGGTAGAGGTATCGGGGAGGGGAGCGAGTCCGGGGCACCCACCCCAAGGGGCGGGCGACGGGGCCGGACTCTGCCCTGGGGACTGCGGGGGCCGGGGCGTCCACCGGGAGGAGCTGCGGCACTGGCTCTGGGCTTTGGCCGCAGATCGCCTCGCGGCTCCGGGAAGAGTGGGGTCGACTTAGCCAAGGCGGAGGGGCAGGGGTGGGGGGTGTGCGCACCGAGTGCCCTGGCCGGTGGCGAACGGGTTGCTGGACTCGTGGAGGTCAGCGCTGCCTGCCAGCAGTGAAAGGCTTTCAGCGAGTCTGTCTACCGGGAGAGCTTTAACTCCACCTGGGATGTCTCCTAGTGGCCCATTGTCGGCAGTCTGAAGAGCACAGAAGACTACTTGGCTTGGGACTAAGGGACCCCACACACACATTGTGCCCTCACTACTGCTGTAGCAGTTTTCCTTAGGCAAGAAGGTACCCACATGGGGACACGATGAGCTAGATCTATGAATCCAGGCAGAAATTTGATGATGAGATAAAATAAGGCTTCCAGTTCTCGTCTTTTGTACCACCTGACACACCTTCCAGTCTTCAGAGGGGCCACATTTCTCGGGGACACCACTGTCTTAGGACACTTTAGAAGCCCTGGCTTCAGCTGTGCGCATCGCTAACCCCAGCGGCGACCAGCCCTAGGCTGTATGCGTTTTACCCACTTGTGAAAATCCACTCGGTTCCAGTCCCCCCCCCCCGCCCCCTCCCCCGTGATCTTGTTGGGAACAGGAAGAGAGGAGACTCGGCTGATAACAGCTGAGAACATAGCCTTTTGCTGAGAAAAATCTGGTCTGGAATGGCACACCAGTGGGACTGGTCAGGAGCTCACCAGGCTGTCGTTGGCTGTAAGCCCACCTTGAGAAAGCTGCCTGTCTGCCAAAGGGGCAGCAGGGTGTGGAGTTCATTCGAAGCACCCCGTCTCTCTCCCCAGGAGAGTCTGGACCCCAGCTTGGGTGGGGTTGAGGCTTGTGAGGAAAGGGGGGTATTTCTTACTTCACACAAGAGACTGAAGTTTGCTTGAGAGCATTTAATTGTATGTCTAAAATCCAGAGAAGGCTGGAGAGTCTGTGCTATTGCCAGGTTGCACTATATGTAACTTCTAGTGGCAGTTAGAAGGGTGACCTGGTTTGGCTGCTGAAAGGTGGGAGTTGCCAAAATAGCATTTTCCTCTGTGACAGGGTTTTTACCTGGCAGCAGACACATGCCTGTGTTTAGGAGAGCTGGCTCTGGGGAGTTGAGCTGTTCATGAGATGTGTTTTCACTCTGTTTCTTTCTGTCTGTCTTTCCTCCCTTCCTTCTCCCATCACTCTATCACTCTATAACCAAGGCTGGCCTGGAACTTGGAGCGTTCCTCCCTGATTGCCTCCTGAGAGCTGGCCTTACCTTGTGTGCACTACCCTGCTGGTTTTAGTTTGTTCTTTTTGTTACCTTTCTCGCTCCCTCTCTGTTGCCATGTTCCCATGTCATTTTCCTCCTCCTTCCTCTGGCTCCTCTGATTCAGTCTGCACACAGCTACTAGCTCTTTCTCCCTTCCACAAGTCAGTTTCTTACTAAATTGTGGTTGCTCTCTTTTTCCTGCAGTCTGACCCTAGTCAGCGTCCCTAAGGCTATTTGTTAGTCATGCCTTGCACATTTGTCTGTCCCCTGCCCTTTGCTCCTGGCTCCTACCCTTCCCTTCTCTCCCACTTGTCTATTGTCCTCGTGTTTGTTGCTCAGGCCAGTGAGCTTTGAAAATGGATTTTCTTACATGGTATTTTCTAGAGTGTTTTGTAGGTTGGAACTTTCTTAAGGATAGGAGGAATGAGCTAAACATGAGTGCACAGGCGTGTCTGTGTGTCTCTAATCTTCCTCCCAGTTTTGTGTGCATTGTTGTTGAATGAATAAATGTAGTTGGCTGTGGAATTCTGTGGGGGTGCAGGGGAACCTTTGGCTTTGTTAGAAATGCTCATATGGATTCAGTCCTTGGAGGTCTCTGACCTTTTCTGTGAAAGGTATATAAATAGGGCATGTTTGTGAAGCCCTGGCATGGGCACTTGAACTGCTCTTTCTGATCCATCCGCTGGTGAAATCAGTCCTGTAGATTGTTCACATGACACCACACAGATGTGAATTGGAAAGGGGCCGAATCTTGTTTTCCTCCTGTCCCCACTAAACCGTTCTCTCTCTGTACCCAGCTTTGCTGTTCCTTTGCAATCTACTTGTTGTCCATGCTAAATGAATCCATATGTCTTACCTCTTCACATCTGGGTGTAAATGAGGGAGAAAACACTATTTGGAGAACAGAGACGAAAAATAAACCTGGATCAGTCCCATGGATGGGATTTGTAGTGTTCCTTTCTGTAGGAAGTGTTTTTACTGACTTTGGGACTATGTCTGCCCCAAGTTGGATCTTTGGGGTAGGAATACTATCCTTCCAGGTATCTTAGAAGTTGGTTTGTATTGATGATCAAGCCCAGGCGCTGGGGACTCGGGAGAAGGCTGGTGACTGGTTTGAAGCTAAGTGGTGAAGAAACGTCTCCTGCATCCATTCTCTTTCCCCAAACCTCTCTTTAGTGCCCCAGTTTGATGATTAATGGACCAGCGTTTCCCTTCCAGTCGGGAAGACTACCCCTCACAGTTGCTATGGCAATGCAGACCTCTCCCCCATCAATTAAGAAGGGAAAAAAAAAAATCGTACTACTTCTCCTTTTACTGTAACAGAAAAGCCACCTCAGAACACCTTTCCCGGGTGTTCTCCTCGCTTGCAGTGTGCATCCTGGGATACAGTCCTTTCCCGCTTCACGGGCATTGCCTGAGTTTCTTCATATTGATCAGATTCTGCCCCTCCTGGAGCCAGCAGCTCTAGAACAGTCAGGAGAGGAAACAACCTTTTAATCTATTCATTCATGATGCAAATTACAACCCAGAAAGAGCACTTCTCTCTTCTGTAGGGATAGAGGAAGTGTCCTCCGTATGCTCTCCGGTGTTTAGAGGCTTGAATTGGGTGGCATCTGACACTAGAGAAGGAAATTTTAGCAGACCTGAAAGAAATTCAGCCTATCATATCTACTTGAAATTGTAGTTCAATGAAAATTGGCTAATTATTTTCATTTCTTCCCACTTCTCCATCATAGCATCTAAAAGGGCTTAGAATGTTTTCATTTTATCTACTCTTGTTCCTCTTGGCCTTGCTCAGGCAACATCTGGCCTCTGTGCCCTGTCGCAAGGTGAGTCATTAAGGAGAAGGAAAAAAATCTTAAGGGGGAAAAAATCCCCAGAGCTGAAAAGTAGCCTGTGTTGAACTAGAGCTGCCAGCAAAAGCTGCCGAGTTTATGGAGCATTATATGAACAGTCCCGACATTAAAGGACCTCCTTTTTATGAATGGGTTGTGAAGAATGTAAATAAAGCATCTCTCAATGGGGAAGCATTTCACATAAGCAGCACTACCCCTGCCCAAGCATTTATGGGAACTTGCTAGCACAGTCTGGCAGGGCTTGTTTCCTTTGTGCCTTCAACTTTGGAGAGACAGGGGGAGTGTAAGCAGAGTCCGCTTTGGTTCTGAGGGCACCCTGGACACTCTGGCTTTATGTGTTTGGCCTTGTCTTATGAGCCAACACAGTGTCTTTTAGCCCTAAAAAGATGGAAAAATACCATGTGTGGTCCAGAGCTCATGAAAATTGGCAGCCAAAGGCTCCTGACACCAGGTGATCTGAGGTTCTGTAGCCCCTGACCCCTCAAGCTACGTAGATCTTTGGAGGTCAGTCCCGGGAGGTCTTGGACGATGAGATCCTGCCTAGTTTTATGGGAGGCACCTAGCTGGACTAAAAAGGACTGGTTTGAATTTCAACTCCATAATGTTTCTCCAGCCCATCTCCTGGTTTCGCCACTAATGAGCTGTAAGATGGCTAAAAAGGTGGAGGAAACAGTGAGCTCCAAACGTCCTGCTCAGGGCTGCCAGGTCCTGGGGTCCCAGCAAGGGTATGGGTGTCCATCCCAGGCATCTAGGTTAGAAAGCTG